TAAAACTGTTCTGAAACATATTGTTGTGACAGCTGCACAAATCTGTGAAAATATTTTAAAAAATAAAAGAGAAGAAAAGAAAGAAAAATAAAACACTGATATTTTATTTATTGTGGACCTAGGGCTCAAAACCAAGGCTTTGCAGATGATAGGCAAGTATATTCCCATGGGGCTACATCCCAATCCTAACTTGGCTATTTTAAAAGTACGGTGTCACATCTCAATAAGGTTGTTTTTAAAATGACCAAAAGGTAGTTACTGAGCCTGGGGCTGAGAACTGTGCATAACAAAGTATGAATCTGTATATGTAGATGGGTAGATGAGAGTAGATGGCCAAAAAGCAGGGTATGATGCAACAAAGGCAACACCAATGAACAGCCTTTTTCCCAGTCTGGCATCTAGGCAAGACATAACACGGGGTTACAACAACCCATCCTTTCTACTGTAAAACTTGTATTTTAGTTTAATAGCAGCAGACTGTGCATCTTAGTAGCTGCACCCGGGGGATGTTTACCCAACTGGTATGATGAACAACAAGGTATGTGTTATGTGTGCAAATTTGTCAAACTGGGGTTTTTATCTACATAATGTCCCTTCTAAGAGGTTTTGCACATTTCCTTGAGCATCACAGGGGGTAAAATATACCCACACAACTCTTCTGTTCTGCAAACATGCATTTTACCATAATGGATTGTGATTGTGACACACAACAACTTCCCCTGTGAAAAATAAAATCCCATCTGTGCAGTTATCCACTCGGCAGGTGAATGGCAAGGTATGTACAGCAGATCCAAAGTAGCAACAGGTGAGCTTTATAGATGAAATGCTCATAACTAAATTTCTGTGTATTTAGGATTTTTTTTTTTTAAAGTTCTCTTGAAGGGATGGGGATTTAGCTCAAAAGCATAAGCACCTGCCTGGCAAGTGTAAGGTCAAGAGTTTAATACCTAGTACCAAAAAAAAAGTTCTTGAGCTGTGTGTGGTGGCACATGCTTGTAATCCCAGTACTTGGGAGGCTGAGGTAGGAGGATTGCTGTGAGTTTGAGGTCAGCCTGAGCTGTATAAAGTAAGTTTAAGACCAGCCTGAAATGCACAGCAAAACCCTATCTCAAAAAGGAAAAAAAAAAAACTTTTTTCTTTTGGTTTTTCTTGGAGAAGTAGCCTAATTCAGTAAAACAGCACAAGAAAAACTGATTTGCCAGCTTTAGAGGAGGTTGAAAGTGAATCATCAGATCATTCATGTATGGATGATGAAGGTGGTAACGCCCATGATGCTGGCCATGTGAACCAAAGTTTGGTGGCAGTGAAATGGAGCAAGAATCAGACATGGGGAATGCAGACCTCCTTGATTTAGATGACAAAGAAAGCAGCACTACAAGTTCATATTGCAGTAGTAGGAATGGTACAAAATGGTCACACAACAAAATGGAATGACCCCATGTTAGAACTGGGTCCAAAAATATACTCAGGGTCTTGGCAGAGGTGACATTTATGGAACAGAATGCCAGTACTGCCATTCAGTGCTGGAAATTGTTTGTAACAGATGAAACACTACAAGATGTTGTCAAATGCATACATGCTGAAATACAAGTAAAATGTTCTGTATGTACAACAGCCTTACTCAAAAACATTTATTATGATACCCTCACTAGATGAACTGAAAGCACTGACAGATCTGCTGTACTTAGCAGGGCTTTCCATTGGTAATCACAGGAATGTAAAAGACTTATGGAAAGCCCATGGGGGTGGGCTTGAGGTCTGCAGAACAATGACAGTGAGGACATCTGGTTTTCTTCAAAACTGCCTGAGTAGGGGAGGCTGGGAATTTAGCTCAGTGGCATAAGCAGTTGCCTTGCAAGCTCACGATTGTGGGGTTTTGGTTTTTTTTTTTTTTTTTTTTGGTACCAGAGATTGAACTCACAATCTCATACTTGCCAGGCAGGCGCTTATGCCGCTGAGCTAAATCCACAGCCCAAGCGCACAATTGTGAGTTCCATCCCCAGGACAGATTTAAAAAAAAAAAAAATGCCTGAGGTTTGATGACAAAACCACCTACCAAGGAAGAAAAAGAACTTAAGCTAGCTGGTATCCACTCACTCTTGGAGAGACTCGTGGGTATGTGTCAAGCAATTTACATACCATCTGAATACATGACTATTGATGAATATATTGGACCATTTCATGGTCGCTGTAGCTTCCAGCAGTATATTCCCATAAAACCTTCACAATATGGCATAAATATTTGTGCCCTAGTAGATGTAATAAGACCTTTTATGCTTTCAGTTTAGAAATTTACCCTGGACTTGGCTATCTTATCATCATTATCACGAAGTACTAAACCAAATGATGCTGTCAACAGACTTGTTGCTCCCATCTCCCAAACTAATCAAAACGTGAAATTCAACAACTGGCTCACCAGGTTCTAACTGATGTTACATTTGCTAACAGAGCACAAGTTGACCAACAAGGGAACTGTATGCAGGAACACAGCAGAAATTCAAAATGAAATGTTGCATTCAAAATAGGGAACTGTATAGTACAGTCTTTGAATTTCAGAAAGGCATAACACTGGCATCCTATGTGGCAAAGAAAAACAAACATACTGCTGATGTCAGCATTGTACCATAATGGAACTATTGATAGGGAAACCTCAACAAAACAGAAGCCTGAAATGGTAACTTCTTATAACACAACCTAAGATGGAATAGATGTTGTTGGTGAATTACATGGCAACTATGATGTCACTCAAAACACAAAGCACTGGCCAATGGCTGTATTTTACTGGATCTTAAACATGTGTGACAAAGACTCGGCAAGAAACTGAACCATGTTTCCCCGTGAGCCAGCCGATGTGCGGGTCGGAATACCAGAAGAGCATCCCCCAACCCCTGCCATAAGAAACTGGCTGATTCAGAGGAACTCAGGGTGATATGATAGCAACTGAGATGAAAGGAACAGCTTGATGTTTGTATTCTCTGATTGACTCTGCAGGCCTTTGGCATCTATGTGGAGGATGGCAGTGTGTACAGTGGCACAGTGGGGAATTTCCTTCCGTCTCATTTTTAAAATTCAGTGTTTGTTCCGTTTTACTGTTTTATTTTATTCCTATATCTGGTAAAGTGAGCAACTATTTAAAAGATAACAAATATGCAGTATAACAACCATTGTGAAATTCCTAACAGCTTGCTTTAAAAACCTATATAGCTATTTTTGTTGTTGTCATTTTGCTTCTGTTGTTTTGTAGGTTTGTTTGCTTGTTGATTATTCTGTTTCTTTTTCTCTTTAAAATAAAATCTTAAAAAATATTTAAAAATTTTATGACATAGTTTGATAGTTTACAAAGAAAACAACAAATGTAAAACATCACAGAGAAATTTTCTTACAAGACTGGGACTGGAACTCAGAAGGGATCATTTACAGCAGAGGAAAAACAAAATGTTCCTGCTCAGGAAACTATGTACAAAAACTATGGAGCACCCTGGTAAGCTACAGGTGAACAGGCAGGCACAGCATCACAAAGATCTATACCAGGAAAACCAAAAGATGTAAACTGTGTCTTACAGGAAAACAAAACGTTAGTGCTACTGGTGTAAGCCACACTCGTATATGAACATGCAGTGTGCATGTGTGAAGCCTGCCTCGGGTGTCACAGTTGAAACAAAGATTATTTCTGTGGTAGACTTTTGTTTGTATTTACATTGTAGTTCACATAGGTTTTTTTTATTTCAGATGTTATCTTTTAGGTTTTGTAAGCTGGTAAGTAGCTGATGTGAAAACGTTAATGTCTACTCTAAGCACTCATAATTACATATTTGAGATTTTATTTTATTAACATCTTATTTTCCTGATGTGTGCACATTGTACAATACAGTAGGAAGTTCCTGAAAAACAAGAAGACAAGAGGTAACAAGACTGGCTTCCACGTAAGACAGGAAAGGTAAGCCCATGTGCTGGCAGTGTAAGCAAGACATGTTCATAGAACATACAGTTGTCATGTGTAAAGACAGCCTTGGAAGTGACCACTAAAGTGAAAATTAGTTTTGTTGTAGAGTTTTACTGGTATTTTCATTGTAGCTCATATAGGAATTTATTTCTGACATTATTTTTTTAGATCTTGTAAGCAAGTACAAAGCTGATGTGAAAATGTTGATGTTCATTATAAACACCAATACATATTAAGAATTTAATACTTTATTTTACTGGTGTTTGATGTTCCTGTTAACTATATATTGTATAATATAAAAAGAACCTTCTGATAAAACAGAAGACCAGCAAGATGTCAAGTGCATCCTAGAAAAAAGGCAGGAAAGCAAACACATATGATACCAGTGAAAGTGATACATGTATATGGACTATGTTGTTGTCATATGTGAAGACTGTCTTAGGTGTGATAACTGAGTAAAGATTATTTTTTGGCTGGATGGGATGGGGCACTCCTGTAATCCCAGCACTCTGGAGGCTGAGGCAAGTAGATTGTTGCAAATTCGAGACCAGCCTGGGCTACAAAGTGAGACAAAGGCCAGCCTGAATTGCATAGTAAGACTCTGTCTCAAAAAGACAAAAAAAAAAATTTTTTTTGTAGAGTTCTATTGGTATTTTTATTGTAGTTCATATAGGAATTTATTTTTTTTTAAACTTTGCATGCCAAAAAAGTTGATGTTGAAAATTTTTAAGTTTTTTAATAAAAAATAAATATTAAAAATTCAATACTGTATTTTTGATACTTTTTCCTGTTAAGTACACATTGCTTAATTTAATAAAACTCATAAAATTAAAATTAATAATTCACCAATAGAAATATTCTAAAGAATAAACATAGGTATTATATACCCACAATAATGCACCTTTATGACAAAATTGGAATTATACTCTATGAGCTACTAGAAATGGCACCAAAACATTAACCTGGAAATATCTCCCAAAAGATACCAGAAAAGCCCTGCCCATCCCAACTGGTCTAGCACAGCTATAAAAAGATCTCTTCTGAGTCACACACTTACCCAGCAGGGTAGGCAACTAAACCTGATCGGGGATCACAGGCAAGTCCTCTGCCTCCAGAGACCGTTATTCCCAGCACCTTCTCCAAGGTTACCTGTTAGAGCAAGGCAGAGAAATGACATGTTATAGACAGAGCAGATTTGGGGAGAGAGTACTGTAGACAGCTAGGACTGTACTTTGGCCTTGCTTTTCTGATACCTTTATCATCAGGAGAACAAGAGCCTTCTCCAGCTGTTCTGCCCACTGGCTCTTCATCACATGGAAAAACGCCAGTGCGAATCACTTGCATTCAATGGGGCTCAGTTTGCTGGTACCAACTGGTTAACGCACATCTCATGGCCTAGAGAGCAAGCATTCCTCCAATCCAGGAAGCCACCTGAAGTTTTGGGACCCCTCTGAGACTTGGGGAAGGCTAATGATCCTCATGCCTTGGCAGGCATGAAGGAGAGGCCAAGGAAAGAATGGTAGGTATCAATTAGGTGACTCATTTGAATTCCATCATGTTCTTCCCCTCATCAGATGGCTCCACTTCCCAAATGTCTACCAGTTTATATATACTTTGAGCCTAGAAGGCAGAAGCATGGCTTAATCATGTCTTTTTCAAAGCACAGATGCTCATAGTATGCTGGTTACTATTAAGCTGCAACTCCCAGCTGAAAAGAAAACATTTGTAAAGTGCTCACAGATCCTGAAAGGACATGGCCACAGGAGACAGGACATTTATCACTCATGAATGGGACCTCAGCCCTTAGGATCCACACTGGGCTGACTTCAGTTTAGTTCATGGTCCTTCTGCTAAATGATGCAACATAAGATCTCCTGCACTGTGAGCTCCTGCTTGTCATTCCATTTCATACTGTTATACAATATCCTGCTGGTCACCCCAGGACCAGCTTCATCCCAAACTGCCTACATTTCCTCCACCAACCCTCCTCCTGGTATCCCTGGACTCAGAGAGAGGAGCTTCTGAATGCAGAAGGAACATGGACACCATTCTGTCATAAAACCCTGACCCTGAGGAGTCTTGGAAATCCTAGGAGGGCAACATGAGCAAGAAAAACTTAAGAGGTGGTCACACTTGTGGCAGAAGAGAATCTGCTAATCCTAGCTAGTTTCTACACAGGAGAAGCTCAGCAAAATCAGTTAGGATAGTTTTAGGATTTCTCTTCTTTTTGGAGAATTAAAGTACTCTTAGAGAACCTGTTTAAATTCTTATCTCCAAGGATCATTTTAGCTTGAAGTAGGTTGGAAAAAGTATCCTGTGATGGCCCTGAGTCTCCCAGAATGGTACCCTCAAATTATTCCCTAGAGACATCCCCAAGAGTCTTCTGTACTTGTAGGATATAATCCAGAAATTCCAGTATGTGTCTACTCATTGGTAGAGGTGCTTTTCTTATGGGGCGGCAATCCAAAGCCACCTGGAAAGCACCAAATTTGTCAAGTACCCGTGGTCTCAGCTGGCACTAAAGTTAATGAGAAAATAAACTAATTTTAGCCTGTCTTAGCCTATTAATTCATCCCCCCCCCCAGGATTAGGGATCAAACCCAGGGCCACAATTGTGTCAACCAAGTGCTCTTCCAGTGAGCTACACTCTCAAACCTTTTGGTTTTTATTTTGAAACAGATTCTTGCTTAGTTTTCTATGCTGGCTTCAAACTCATGACTCTTTTTTCTCAGCCTCCCAAGTGCACCACTGTATGCACCACTGCACCCAGCTCCTAGACATTCTTGATAGTTTGTCTCACCTTAGGCCTCCTTCGATTCTTTTCCCTGGCACCCAGTAACCTGGAACTGACTTAAGAGCACAAGATCATTCTGGAGGAGTCTAGGGATACTCATCTTGGCAACAGGACTTCACCTCAGAGTAAAGAGAACTCTGGAATTTCCGTTGCCTACTGCAGAGGACAGAGAGGAACTTGAAGCCAGCCTGACCCACAAAGGTGGCAGGGGTCGCAAAATCAAGTACAGTGAGTAACAAGCCACATAACTATTCTCTTCAGACTAATCTGATTTAAGGCAAAGCCCTTGAATTCAAATTGCATCAGTTCCTTCCCTCCCTATGCTTCAGTGCTGATTCTCAACTGCTCTCCCTTTTTGATAGCAATTTAGGTTGCTGTTTAGAGATAGCTGACCTAGTTTGTAGAGAACTGATTCCAAAACCCACTTGCACTTTTCAATAGCAATTAAGGAAGGAGACATGGGTTACTCAGACCCTGAAGGGTTTATCAAAATTTTAGACTATGAACTATGGTAAGAAATTGTCTTGGTTACTTTTCTCCTGTTGCTGAGACAAAATACCCAACACCCAAAGTTAAGGAAGGAAAGGTTTATTTAGCTCACAGTTTTTGGAGGTTTCAGTCTGTACTCAGCTGGCTCCAAGGCAAGTGGCATGGTGAAGGGGTAACAGTTCAAGGCGGCAGCAGAGAGCAAAGCAACAAGAGCACAAACCAGGAAGAGCAGGCCTCTTTTTCTCCCTTATATTGTAAGCAGCCCTAGTCCTTCTGGAGGTATAGCACTCACATCATCTCTGCACAGGCTCAGGACGTTTACAAAGTGAGGACCCTGACCCCCCGGTGAATCACTTAGTTAAGTTCTAAACTACTCAAGTTGACACAGTGAAAACAGCTTAGAGTGGTAAGGGCATGTCCTCTGAACCCCAGGATGTAGAATTGCTAAGTTACTTAGTTAAGCTTCTAGACTTCTCAAGTTGACACAACATACCAACCACTACAAAAATATACTTTGCATCATGATCTAGTGTGTTCATACATTATGTGTATGTACATAATACTGAAATTTGAGTTCCACAGAACACTTTACTGTATGTGATATAGTCTAACATATCCCATTTCATTAAAAGTAATTATGGCCTTTTATCAACTTCATGACATGCAAACTGGCTGCAAGACCTATTTTGGGAGACTATCTCTTTCTGTGCCAGACTCTGCTAGACTTGAGTGACAGGGTCTAGTCACAGACATCTCTGTATTCTTTTGTCATTTCCCTCCTGGAACTTGCACAGCAGAACACACTTCCAGACTAGGGAAACCCCACAGACAGAATCCTGTTTGGGTTCCAACCTAACTTATTTTCAAAGGATTAACAGCTGGAGCATTTTCCTGGCTTTCTGAAATAGCTATCCAAGGAGGGGGTGGGGAGAGTTTCCTCTGGCTCTGAGGAAGGGGAGAAGCAGGGGAAAACATTTCGGGGCATCAGCTGGTTTTTATTTTATGTTCTTAAGTCAAACCAGCTTCCTGTTTGCATGGAGTTTTGGGGCAGAGCTCTACGCTCAAAGGACATGAGAGAGTTCAGAGCTCCTGTGAGGCCTCTAGCATTTATGCTGATATTGCAAGACTTCCAACACAATAGACTTTATAAACTGACTCCCTTTTCTGATAATGTTCTCCTTTCCCTCTTTTTGCAGGAAGGTAGTGTAAAGCTTCTACCTGTCCCAGGAAATGGAGACAAATCTGTACACCTCCTCCAAATCCTGCAGGCTAAATGCACCCACGTTCCATCGGCAGCGGACAGGGGTCAGCTTATATCGGTTCAGGAACAGATTATGCACCAGAGTTCCAACACTGTACCAGTGACAGACCTCACATCATGAAAGCAGCACAGGCCTTTGCTCTCCACTCAGAGACTTGGTGCATCACTGAGCTCCAGACACTACCATCTCTCACGTGGCCTGTACCTGTACCTGTACTGTAAATGTTCTCCTTGCTTCAGACCTTGTCCCCTGCTGTCCTTTCCAACATGGCAGGTCACAGTGTATCTCTTCAAATATAAATGAGATAACGTCATTACTCTGCTCAAAACTGCCTAGTGGTTTTGCATCTCTCAAGTTAAAATCCACATATCTGACCCAGATTTATATGGCTCTGTGTTATCTAGCCTCTGGCTACCTCTTTCGCTTCATTTTCTTACTCTCCACCTCACTCATCCCACCCCAGCCATCCTAGCAACCTCCAGGACTTGAAATAGACCTCTAGTCCTTTGCATATGCTATTCTTTGTACTAAACAGCTCTTCCCTCAGCTCCTCACATAGCTTATACTCAAACTTGAAGATCTCCTTGCAGAGAGCTCTCTAGCTTTACTTTAATCATTCTAATCTGACTTAGCCAGTTTTACTTTATTCTTTTTATTTAGTTTTTTGAGTCAGGGTCTTTCTATATACCATAGGCTGGTCTCAAACTGCCAACAATCCTCCTGCTTCCAAGTGTGGCAACACAGGTGTGCACCACCACACCCAGCTGTACCCACAGTATGTAAAGGCAGTAGTGATACTGATCTTATCTCTGGCCAGCTACTTACAGTCTGGCCTTCCCATCGAATGGGAGCGCCTTGAGGACAGGACCAAGGTAACTATCCCTCACTGATAAACCACCAGTACTTGGCACAGTCTGGCATACATGGGGCACTTTGATACAAAGTGATGAATAAATGAATGTCTGGGAGAGCTTCAGGAACAGTGGAAGACCACACATACACAGGAAAGCCCAGGACAATGAGGGTATTTCAGGCTGATAGAGCTATTCTCCACAAAGTATCTAAAATGTTATGGCAGAATAGCCACATTCAGCTGAAGATAAGCAAAAAGGGAGCCTGAAAATACAGGCAATGTTTTGTTTCTTAAGCTTATGGTGGGTTCATAACTATTTATTATTCCATGTCTTCAATACTGCATAATATTTTAGGATATGTGCTGCTAAAGTGAACACAATATCTTACAATGAATGTTTGAAAGGAAAGACATGGCCAAAGGCACGGCATAGGGGTTGAGGGCATTAGGAGAACCATCCTGTAACTCACAGCCCTGAATTTCTATCTGCAAGTATTTTGTGGCCACTAACTTGACCCACCAATGTGAGGGAAAGAGTCCGAAGAACTGAAGGACACATCATTTTATGTCACATTGTTTATGCTATGTTCTGACATGACATTTTTTTTTAAGGACAGGGGATAGAACCCAGGGGCCATGCAAAGTATGTGCTCCACAACTGAGCTACACCCTCAGCCCTTTATGAACTTCTTTTCTTAACTTCGGAGACAGGGTCTCACCCTGTGGCCTAGGCTAGCCTGGAACTCCCAAT